GCTGGCCAATTTCCATTTTGTCTTTATTTACTTCATTTTAAGAAATGTTTGGTTTGTCCCTACTTGTGTATGGTGCTGCAAAGAGTGGAGTTGGGGCAAGAGACTAGAGAGTAGTTAGCGGAGATGGGGGCAGAAAGAAGGGCGTCAGAGAGGTGAATAAGGAGCACTCATTATGATCAAAAAATTCTTCATTCACTGGGATATTTTTGCATATTAACATCTACATTTCAGGAGGCAGCATATGATCAAGAGCAGAGGATACTGAAGGACTAAGTCCAAGTTGTACTGAAGGCATTAGCAAAAAACAACACAGCTGTGGCGCTGTGGGTTAATGTGTTGGACGGCAAAGTTAGTGGTTCAAGCTCACCGTCTGCTCCTCAGAAACCCTATACAGGGCCGCTATGGGTTGGAACTGACAACGGCACTTAACACCAATAACTACTGAGCTGTTTCAACACACAGATGCAATGCTGCAAGGGCTGTATGCCGAGAATATTGGAAGACAAAATAGGGAAATTATCAAAAAATATCACTGGCATTACATACAAGTAAAATTTTCCTGAAGATAGTGCAGCAGTATATTGACAAAGAATTGCCAGAAATTCAAGCAAGATTCAGAAGAGAATGTGGAATAAAAGACATCATTGTTGACACCAGATGGATCTTGGCTGAAAGCAGGGAATACCAGAAATATGTTTACCTGTGTTTTATTGACTATGCAAAGACATTTGATTCTGTGAAGTGTTAACAAAACATGGATAATTGAGAAGAATAGGAATTCCACAACTGTGCTTGTGGGTTACTTGTACATAGACCAAGAGGCAGTTGTTCAAATAGAACAAGGGATACTGTGTGGTTTAAAACCAAGAAAGGTGTGTATCAGAGTTGTAGTCTTCCACCTTACTTATTCAGTCTGTGCTGAGCAAACAACCCAAGAAGCTGGACTACATGAATTTGGCATCCAAAACTCATTAACGACCTATAATATGCAGATGACACAATCTTGCTTCCTCAAAATAAGAAGGTCTTGAAGCACTTAATGATGAAATAAATGAAGGACTAGCCTTCAGTATGGATTACAACTCAATGTAAACAAAAATCCTCACAGCTGGACCAATAGGCAACATTGTTGTTATGTACCGTGGAGTCAGTTCCGACCCATAGCGACCCTGTACAGGGTTTCCAAGGCTGTAAATCTTTACGGGAGCAGAATGCCTCATCTTTCTCCCACGGAACAGCTGGCATTTTCGAACTGCTGGCCTTGAGGCTCACAGCCCGATTTGTAACCACTATGCTACCAGAGCTCCTTAATAGGCAACATAAGCAGAGAAAATACTGAAGTTGACAACTATTTCATTTTACTTGTATCCACAATCAATTCCCATGGAGGCAGCAGTCAAAAAATCAGAAGGATAAACTTACTGCACAGGACAAATCTGCTGCAAAAGACCTCTTTAAAGTGTTCAAGTGGCTCCATGGGATAAGCACTGGATTGGTGTGAGCCCCACTGTTGCTCTATGGGAGAAAGATGAAGCTTTCTGCTTCTGGAAAGATTTACCTCAGAAGCCCTAATATAATGGTTACTGAGTTGGAACTGGCGTGGGGCTGTGGGCAAATGCACTGGACTGCAAAGTCGTTGAAACCACAAGGTCACTGGTTCAAGCTCACCAGCTGCTCCTTAGAAACCCTATACAGACAGGGTTACGATGGGTTGGAAATGACTTCACAGCACTTAACATGAGTTGGAACTGACTTGATGGCACTTAACAAAGTGCTTAAAAAGTAAAGATGTTACTTAGAGGACTAAGCCAAGCGAGGTCTTTTCAATTGCCTCATGTACATATGAAAGCTGGAAAGTAAAAAAGGAAGACCTAAGAATTGATGCCCTTGAATTATGTATGATGTTGGCAAGGAATATTCAAAGTACCACGGGACTGGCAGCCAAAAAAAATTTTGTCTTGGAAGTATGGCAAGAATGCTTCTTAGAGGTGGCAAGACTTCATTCTCATGTACTTTAAGCATTTTCAGGTAGGGTCAGCCCCAGGAGAAGGACCATCATGCTTGAGGTTCAATAAAAAGAGGAACAGGTTACAACAATGGATTGAAACATGACATGAATATGAAGATGGCACCCGACTGGGCAGCGTTCTTGTTGTGCACAGGGCTGCTAGGAGCTGGAAATGATTGTATGGCACCCAGAAACAAATATCTAGATGACTTAGCTTGTGGCGCATTACACTAACGTCTCACACCCACCTGTCCAGCACTCATTATCATCCCTTCCCTGGCCACCACCTATTTGGTGGTAGGCCATCTCTCTGAAGTTTTCACCATGTGTGTAGATAAGGCTAACAAACCCTATTTATGTGAATGAGTCCATGTATAGTTTGAGCCCTATATGCAGGCATGACACACACGCAAGAGATGATACCAATGATTTCTGCTTTATGCAGAGCTTTTGTTCCAGCCAAGATCCAGGCTTAAGTTCTTCAAACACACTTGGGACCTTTTCACTTTCCTCTTCTGCCTAGAATGCCCTGCTTCAGATGGTGCCTTCTCTATGAAGTCATTCCTGGTTCCAGATGGTGGGGAAGCATATTCTCTTTTTGTTTTATGCTTTGGCATAAGATTTAAGTGCATTTCAATCACTTCTCTGTATCGGGTTTCTGAAAAGCAGCTGGTGGGTTTAAACCACCCTTGGGGATCCTTCCCCACCTATCTGCCTCCAGTGGCACTGGCCCCCATCAACCCCCCATTAAGGTGTCTGCCTTTGTGTACCACATAGACCAAGCACCCCAGCAATCTCTGTAAAAGGAATCGCCAGTGTATCCAACTGTGCAGGTTCCCAGTTAGCAAATGGAGACGATTATGCATTTGATTACTTCAGCCAGGAGTTATAACTAAGTCACATCAGTGGGTTTAAGGTGTTCACAGCCCAGTTCCATGTTCAGGTATTCCTGTGGTTGGTTCCAGAGACAGCTGCCTTAATCCAGGTACTGTCTACTTAACTGTGAATAAATTCTGTTCTTGAAACTAGAGGCGTCAGAGGAGAGCAGTGAGCCCACACAGGACCTACCACACAAGTGAGAAGTCTCGTGTGCCTCACCGGTTTCTTTACAGGTTGTCTATCTTTCAGTCAAATCTTTTTACTTCTGTGACTTTAAAGTACCACCCCAAATGTTTTGAACAATGCCATTGTTTGAGTTAGGTATCAGGTCTGTTGTGTTTATCAGTTAAGTGCTGGTTGAGTTGGTTCTCACTCACAGCCACCCTGTAATGAGTTTCTGAGCTGCTGGTAAGCTTGAACTGGCGACCTTGCAGTTCAGGGCATTAGGCCACAGCACCATACTAGGACTGGGGATAGTCATCCATTTTTCAGGGCAGTGGCCAATAATAACTCTAGCCTCTATTTTAGCAACCCTCCAAATACCTCACTTGCTCTATATACTGTCCTGATGTGGAACTGTGGGTTAATGCACTGGACTGCAAGGCCATTTGAACCCCATAGTTGGTTGGCAATTCAAGCTCACCAGCTGCTCCTTGGAAACCCTTTACAGGGTGGCTGTGAGTGCAAACCAACTCAACCAGCACTTAACAACTAACTAAATCCCATTCAGGGTCACTAGGTGTTGGAAACAACTAGATGGCACTAACCACTCACATCTAAGAGCCTGGCTTTTACCTACACGATGGTGTGTTGGGTGTTTTTTGTTATGAAAGGTAACTGCATGCGACTTTTTACTTCTGATCATTCTCAGCAATCTGACCCCTACCTTAGTGGTTCCTTCACATAACCCAAATTGACTGCATATGAAATAGAACCTGCAAGTCAAATGTTTCTGAAAACAAGTTTTATTTAAATAATAGTTTAAATACATTACATAACATTTAGAACTGAAAGGGGGAGGGGGAAAACCCAGTTGTTACTTCCCATGGCATTGGGCAGCTGTTGGTAAAAGTTGCAAGCTCTCCAGCCAGCTATAGGACTGATACATTATTTTGAATTTGTTCCCTTGTCAAAAGTTTAACTCTGAAAGGTGGGCCTCACATGCTGGTTCTTTGGACATCCCTTAGCTAGGATATGTCTGGTCAGTAAGAACAATGACCTTGGTGGCAAGCTGGATGTCCTCTCCTAAGCTCTGCCCCCATCAGATTCGATACCAGGGGTTTCTCTTTTGCTACCAAAAGCTCCCTCTACTGTCACAGCTGCCGTATCCCATCCTCTCTGCTCCACCCAGGGTTGTTCAGGTGGTGGGTGACATTTTCTTAGGGCAGGGTAGCTTCTGACCACAGACAGCCATCTGTGAGCTTGGCTGAAACATCACATTATTGCTTTGTTTCAGGCTGAGCACTGCCAGGTGCCTACTGCTTGACCTCTGTTTAAATGAGGGACTTCAAGACTAGGCAGCATGGCTCTTTTCAGTTTATTGCATGAAGGAGTTACACTAGTCCAAGTTAAAAGTGGACCCCAAATGGTTACATTATACAAGCTGTGAGGTTTTAAAC